AACTCTTCTTCAAACTTCTTCAATCATCCCTTCATATTTGTCTAGTTGCCTTTGGGTTATCACACTTTTTCACGGCGTTCTTCTGTAAGAGATCAAGTCATTGCAAGCTCAACTGTGATATGTTGTATTCCTTTAGAAGTTCTTCTGTCGTTTTCAAATATTTTTTACAAGACAGTAAGAAATTGTTCCTTCACCTAGTGCTTCCATAAATCATCACCAATACCAATAGTATTTTAAAAATACCTTTTGACCTCACAGCCATGAGAAAACGAACAGCTGTCAAATGACTAACCTTGAGGGGAGTGTAGCACTAAAATATGCGATAATGGGGTTTCTTTTTATTATTTTAATTCGTTTCATTTGAGAAAATTTGGTGTGAGAGGTGAAACAGCCGTGTGTCAATTCTGGTCTGCACCATTCTTAAGCTGAAGCTGCTGCAATGTCTTCACTTATTCAACTGAGCCTTTCATTATGCATCAGCTCAGGCTAATACAAACCTCTCGAGAAACCTGTGAAGAACACAACTGCTATTTGAGGTATTACAACTGAGATTTCTTGGGTAGACTCGGAAAGCTCTAACACTAGTCGAGAATCGACGCATTGGGGAACACCTTCAGTCTGATGCGCCTGAAGCCCGTATGGAACTAGTCCAATCTTATAGTGTTGCGTCATGCCATCACCCGTGACGTCGCATGTGATGGTGATGCGGAAGCTCTAAAAGGGCGCCAGATCATAACAGTGTCAGATTCTGTTCTTCAACAAGTGCTCTGCGTGTCTTTTTGGGTATTGTATTGTACGTTTATCCCTTTATATATTTCAACAGAGCATGCGAAGTAGAAACAATACAGTTAGTGTGTGTCCCCTTGCCTGCGCTATTTGAGCGAGGGTGATACACACTCTCTTTGCTGTCTATGTTATTTGTCTGGGAGTGGAGCATGCACAGGCAGCGCCCTCAAGGGCACTGTCTGTGGTAACTGTGATCTAACTGTGATCTAATGCCCCTGAGAACACTCCTTCCACCTGAGCCTGTTTGATAAATCAGCTCCTGAGTCTGTCGAGACAGCTTAGTTCTTGCATTCATGGGGATCGCAGAGGGACTTGGCTGATGATGTTGAGACAGCCTCGGCCCTTTCAACGCTCCATGGCAGCTTTAGGGAGCTACGGAGAGATATTTGTGGCTGAATTTGTCGGACATTGGGGACAAGGACAAGGAATCTGTAAAGGCCTCCTCGATGCCCCGATTTTGTCTTCTGACCTCTTCGGCGACACTATACTGACGTCGAGAGGTTTCAGGAGATGAAATGGCAGTCAGCCACATTCACGCAGCTTATCTCCTGCCGTCGTCCTAGGTCTCGTGGATCTGCTGCCAGGGGGCAGTCTCACAAGGCAGACACCAGCTCCTCACACCTGCAGCAAAAGAGGGAGATTGTTGTCTCTTGTGCTCCCCCCACCAAAGGCCTGGAGTCAGAGGCAACACCCTCAGCCCTCCAAACAGGAGGACTGTCATTCAGGAGAGAAAGTCTTCGGTGAAGAGGTCCTGATGTGTTGCACAGGCCTCTGAGGCTGTGTAAATAAAGCTTTGTTTATAACTACTACAATATTTCATTTTGTCCAAGGAGTTGTTTTGTTTTGTATGCTCCTAAGAAAAGTCTAGTATAGCTCCATCATTGCTCAAAGTAAAAAAAAATCATACTTTATGATGTTAGTTTTAACCCTTTCACGCGTACGATCACACCGGTGTGATCAGTCTTGGCTGGTCCCTGGAGCGTACGATCACACCGGTGTGATTAGAACGTTCAGTGCACACGTCAGCAACTGCTAAATTCAAACTTGCTCTCGCGCGTTGGCTGGCGCTCAGCCAGAGACAGACGCACTCAGTGCTGTCATATATCACAACTATTGAGTGTTTTCAACCACATAATGTTTATTTTAGGTTTCAGACATTTAAATACACATATGTACTACTAGCAAAACAATGATTTTGAGTTTGTAAAATGCACACAGATGTCTATGGAAGCGGCAATAATAATCCTTTCAATTATAATAACGACACGTTTTATTCATATCAGATACACATTGTGTAAGTAGCTTAACATTTGATCCTATTCTTCTCCCAGTTCACCAGCCACTTACGATCATGTATTTCGTGAGAAGTTGATGAATTGACGTTATAAATCCAACAGATCCGATTCTCTGAACTGAAAACGAAACTAAAATGGCGCCGCCCGTTGTGCATACAGCTCAACTAACGCGATCGTTATAAAGATGTCTAAACAACAAAACCCATCCACTTGCACATATTTGACAATCGGAATATCAGTGTTTCATGATATAGCTAATACATTTTTGAATATTTTTAATAAAAAAGGAAAAATGACATAAAAGCAGATCGTCATTCATTCCGCGCTCTGTTCTGGTTGTGCTGTGTCACGTGACAAGCAATGACGCGTCACCATGGAAACATTAAAGTGGCAAGTTCTAAATAACGGTCGCCTTGAAAAACTCACGCTGGGGGGTCAGTTAGAATATTTTAAACTTACGTGTGAAAGGGTTAATGAAAATATAAATAAGAAATTTAATCAAGGAAATTTCTCTGGCATTTCTTTCTTTTTGCTGTATCGAAAACGTACCGAACCGTGACACAAGTACTGTATATCGTATCGAACCGAACTGTGAATTTTGTGAACCGTTACACCCCTATAGGACATTCAGGTTCGAAATGCTAACTATACCTATTAACGTGAGTCAGATCATGTCCCAGGACTGGTTTGTCACGATAGATCTAAAATATGCTTGCTTCCACATATCCATTCTTCTAAGGTTCACTTTTGGGGGAAAGCGTATCTGTCACCTCACACCATCACACGGAATGCATGGATGCTGCCCTTGCTCCTTTGAGATTTCAAGGCATTCGCATCCTCAACTACATCGATGACATTTTGGCACAGTCAGAGGAGATGGCGGTTCAACATTGAAATGTTGTTCTGAATCATCTAAGGTAAGACTCAATGTCAAGACTAATTTATTAATTCCTCTACAGAGAACTATTTTCCTGGGGGTAGTATGAGACTCAGTCACGATGCGGGCACAGTTGTCTCCTGCTCGTATAAACACCATCTTGACCACAGTAACGAGTATCAAGCTAGGCCAGGCCATCACTGTCAAACACATTCAAAGTTTTCTGGGTCTCCTGACAGCAGCGCCCAACATGATTCCTTTTGGCCTGCTGTATAAGGGCCCTGCAGTGGTGGCTCAGGACCAGAGAGTTTTCCCCAAGGGGGAACCCATTTCACACGATCATAGTTGTGAGATGCCTTCGTTCTTTGGTCATGTGGAAGAAACCGTAGTTCCTGTCCCTAGGTCCTGTTTTAAATTTTGACCATGGAAGCATCCCTCACAGACTGGGGTGCGGTCATGGAAGGTCGCTACACCAGGGGTCTTTGGAAGAACCATCCTCTTTCATGGCTAACACAGTCTCATCCCAAGACATCATATAACTGACGTCTTGGGACGTCTTTTGACCATACGTCAACATCCGCCGTTTTAGGGTACCCTTTAACGTCAGTTACATGATGGGACGTCATACAACTGACGCTTTACCTTTAACGTCAGTTAGGTGACGGGGTAGGTTTAGGTCTGGGGTAGTGTTAGGATACGATAACGTCATCTAACCGTCGTTTAAGGGTACCCTAATCAGTTATATGACGTCTTGGGATGAGACTGCGCTGTCATGGCACATCAATTGCCTGGTGATGTTGGCAGTATTTCTGGCCCTCAGACATTTCCTTCCGGACCTCGGAGGCCATCATGTTCTAGTGTCAACGGACAATACGTCCGTGGTCTCATATATAAATCGACGGAGGGACTGAGATTGCGTCCTCTATGGAGATTGGCACATAAGGTTCTTCTGTGGTCCCAGGGCAAACTTCTCTCAGTCAGAGCCATGTTTATTCCCAGGGACAAGAATGTAAGAGCAGACATCCTGTCGAGGCAGGGACTGAGGTCCAGGGAATGGAGACTTCCCCCCGAGACATTGGAGTTGATATGGAGGGAGTTTGGTCAGGCGGAAGTGGATCTTTTCACCTCTCACGAAACACTGACTGTGTGCTTTGGTTCTCCATCATGCATCCAGCTCCTCTAGGACTGGATGCCATGGCGCAGACGTGGCCGAGGCTACGTCTGTACGCATTTCCCCTGCTCCCAGGGAGGGTCCGGCGGTACGGGATCAGCTTGCTCCTAGTACAACCCCACAGTCGTAACCCGAGACGTTTTCTTTCAATTGGTTTTACCTTCACTGCTTAATGTTTTAAAAAAGTTTTCTTTTTCTTTTTTTAAGAATTATTAACCTTTATACAATATTATATTAACATTACATTCAGTGTGTAAGGATTTTTTTTTTTTTTTACTCTACACTTGATGGTTACATGACGTGACATTTTTAGAGTCATCAAATTGATTAAAAATCGTATAACGGTTTTTCAAAACTATATAAAACCAACAGAAATATGAAATTTGTTTTAAACTTCTAATTATCATTTGTTGTATTTAGCATCGTTTCTCTGTTGTCTTTGAATCTATCAGAACTAACCATTGTATTTTCTAAATTGTATAATTCTTTTTATGAAAAGGCAAGGTTTGTTCAGTTTTTGATAAATAATGTGGTATGGCTCTCCAAAAACAATAATATTTATGAATAACATAATTTGACATAATATGTTAAGTAAATAAATAAATATTTTACATTCAGAAAATATATACATTTTTAAATGCTATTAAATAATGATTTCATTCTGCACTCACATTAATTTTAGAGTCATTAAATTAAAACTTGAAAAAAAAAACATAATAAACCAACATGAAATTAATGTTTAAATATATATATATATATATATTTTTACCATGTACCATATTATTAGTAAATTATCCAGTTGGATTTAACTTTAGCTTTGCACAAACACTTCTACTTAAAAATCAACACTCCCTCTTTAATTTTAATTTAGGTCCATGGCCTTGTGTGTGGACTGAGAACTTTCTCAGATACCCAGACTGAATTCTGAGTGAGAGTGCATTCTTAGAGAAAGGTAAGAAACATTTCTTAAATTAGTTTGTAGAGGGTTGTTTGGTTCTGCCTCGATTGAAGATTATCTGGAGATCACAAATACCATCGCAAATAAAACCAGACCTTTGATTCCATTAAGCTACAGGATGTGATTTCAGCCTTCTTACGAAAACATTCTTTATCTTTCTCTCTCTCTCACTTTCATTATATAAATAATCCATCTTGTCTACACCCTCATGATGTCAAGTTTTGAATGACTGGTGTATTGTAAATTTCACATCTCGCGCAGGAGCATTAAATAAAAAATGATCAAGTTCAGAATTCTTATTGCCAATACATTTGACAGGAGCTCAATGCAAAGACCATTTAGTAAATTGCTGAGGAGAGCCGTAGTTATACACGGCTGTACCGTCATCTCCTCTAAAAAATGTTTTCTGCTGTGGTGGCAGACCTGTACGGGGTGGGTTTATGTGCTGTCCAATCATAAAACAATAAACAAATATTATTAATGGCCACCATTGCAGGGCTAAACATTTCAGTAAGTCTGCAATTTTAGGAAAGGCTCTAAGTCCATACTCTCATGAAGTTTTTAACCTTTAATGGCTTAATCTCTCAGAGTCCATTATTCCATCCGAGACACTCTTGTTTACTGCTCCAGGTTAGTATGACTGTTGTAACTTTAGATCTGTATAAACACCCTGACAAGTAACTCAAAATTTAAAACATGCCATTTGTACTGGCTTTTTGTGAGAGCACACATTAAAGTCGAAAAGCTGCAGACCTAATGAAATGTCATTTCCCTTCCTTCCGAGTAATTTCCATTATTTGTGGAGTCTATTCATTTCACTCCAAAAGCAATATAACCCAAAACCGAGCCCTCACATTTGTGCTACTGCAGCAAAACGGGTGGTTTTGAAGAAGTGCCTGTCCAGCACAGCTCTGCAATTTACTAATTGGTGATACTAATCAACTCTCTACTGTCGGCTACATTTAGTGTTGAGAACATTCAGACCGGAATGTTTTACTTCACATCACAACAGTGTACTGTGCAAAGAACTTATAAAACCACACTGAATTGTTTTGAAATCTGTCTGTTCCATTCTGTCTTGAAAAATAATTCTTGCACAAAAACATTGAGGATCAATTTAACAGCAATAAGCAGCATTTGAACTGCATTTAAAATAAAATATATAAAAGTTATTTAAAGCTACTTTGTTTTGAAAACAGCATGCTGCTGTTAGTGACTACTTTTGGTTATGTACTGAATGAATTCCTGAATGAAATATTAAAAAAAATTATAATAATATTTGATGAGATTTTAAATAATTCAGTTCTGGTCTGATCTGATCTGATCAGCAGTGTACATAATAAACGGCCATTTGCTAAATACTGTAAATGAAGAAGCTGCAGAGGCCATGATGCCAGTGGATAAGAGTTACAAGAACCGGACACAAGGATGCTACTGCACTCTAAAAAATGCTGGGTTGTTTTAACCCAATTTTGGGTCAAATATGGACAAACCCGAAATGTTGGGTTAAAAATGTAATGTAAAAATTTAACCCAACGGCTGGGTTAGTCCATATTTGACCCAAAGTTGGGTTAAAACAACCCAGCATTTTTTAGAGTGTGGGTGTGTTACTGGGTGTGCCTAAAATCGCATAATCTCTTGAGTAGGTACTTTAAATATGTAATAACTTCACGACCACTAAAAAAGTATGTTCTATATAGTATGAATGTTTGTACTAATGTGTTCTGGATGTTTTTCTACAATTGCTATGTTGTCATTATCATGTGACCTACCGGCGTCAGTTGCGTATCTTCACTGCCATTCACAAATCCTCTCCCGTGACCTCATGGGATAGTAAAGTGTCTGTCGTATGCACATTTCAGAATCCCGCCGGAAGAAGTAAGTCATCCGGGTACTTCTTGCACTCTTTTATGATGAGTACTGTGAATTTGGACATATTTCTTTTGTCACATTCTGTTTTTTGCATACTACATAGACCTTATGTAGCCCTGCCCTTTTTCAGTGCTGCGCTCGTTGTCTTTTGACTTCCGGTCTGTATTTTCATTGCGATCTTGCATAGGTATGAATGAACTGCTCCCGGTCGACATTTGTTAAGACATCTGCTTTACAATGCTCATGATAACTTTTGTTAACTCTACAACAAGTAAATCCACTTCACCAGCTAATTACTCCTCGACAGCGATGCCATAGAAATATACAGAACAACCGCAAAAACGGAAGTTCAAAGACAATATTCTAAAGATGACGGCGCCCACGTTTGTCTGGTGCATAAGGTCTATATAGTAGGAAAGTATGTGATTTCGGATGCTGAGTCGGATTTCTCTCTATTAACACAATACAATTATAGCCCCAGAATTGTACGTTGAGCTGGTACAAAAGCACAGATGACTGCCATATTTCCTTTGGGGGTGCTGTTCACCTGATCCCAGCAGAGCACTCTGTGACCACAGCCCTGGAAACAAGCCCTGCAGCACTCAAATAATCTTTGAGTCTCAGATCTCTGATTCCAAGCAAACAACCGACAGAACCTGCCAGTGGTAGAATGGCAAATTATCCTTCCACCTGGCTAGTGGACAATTCACCGTTGTCATGGTTTAGGAATCAATCAAACACGTACACACACACACACACACACACACACACAGAGAGAGAGAGAGAGAGAGAGAGAGAGAGAGAGAGAGAGAGAGAGAGAGAGAGATCCATTCTATTGAATCCTCATCTGTCCAAACTCTATTTAAGCAGAGAGAAAATCACTCAACTTCCCTCAGTAATTCCAGAATAAATTGAGGAGATTCAGAAATGGAGCGGGAGTAGACATGAGTTTTAATGTCTGTTTAAATAACAGTGACCTGTCCTGCAGAGCAGCTTTGTACTGGCTGTCACTGATAATCCCACTGGCCATCTGATGAACTTTGTTGTTTTTACGGCCGTTAAGCCTTCCAGGAAAATCGTGAGCATTTTCATGAGTTAGTCATGAGCAAAATTCTCGTCAACCATGAGTCAGACACCTGCAGCACTTGCCCACTTGGCTCTTTCCCCTCTTACATTTCTTGTTATATGAAAAACAGAAAGAAGAGGAGAAGAAGAAAAAAATAATTCTAGGTTATCCCTAATCAGCTAAGCTTAATCATGCAAAAATCATATACTGTAGTCATACATTCAAAGGTCTTTAATAATCAAACCAGATCACCGGAGATCACTGGAAAATATGCATAAATACAAAAAAGCATATAAACAAACTGAAAATGAAGATGATAAATGACCCCAAACTGTACAAGACAAGCAGTATACAACAATCTGTAATCTGCATCTGAAATCACATACTCTCTTGAGTAGGTACTTATTTTGAATTAGCAATTACTTCACAACCGCTAAGTATGTTCTATATATAGTACGAATGTGTATGAAAGTAATCAGAACAGACTGCACTTGCCATGTTCTTATTATCATGTGACCTACCAGGGTCAGTTCACTTACTGCCATTAACAAATCCTCTCCCGTGGCCTCATGGGATAGTAATATGTGTATCATATGCACACTTCAGAATCTCACCAGAAGAAGTCAACGCATTCTCACCCCAAGGCGTCACCTTTGACCATGCTTCAATATTTGACATTTTAGGCGCCCTTTAGTGTCACTTACATGACTCGATCCTACGGCGTCATCTAACTGACGCTAAAGGAAAGCGTCAGTTACAGGACGCGGTTAGGTTTAAGTCTGGGGTGGGGGTAGGGTACACGCGATCCTAGGGCGTCATCTAACTGACACTAAAGGGCGCTTAAAGCGTCAGATATTGAAGCATGGTCAAATGCTTCCCAAGGCGTCAGTTAGGTCGTGAGACGCCTTGGGGGTGAGAATGGGCTGGAAGAAGTAGGTCATCTGGGTACTTTTTGCCTACTCTTTTATGAGTACTGTGAATGTTTACATATTTATTTTATCACATATTGTTTTTTGCACACTATATAGTAGGGAAGTTTGCGATTTTCAAATGCAGAAAGGGATACCTAATGATAGACAGGTGTAATTAATCGTAAACCAAAGAAATTGGGGATTAACAAGACTAAACTGCAAGGAAACAGACGGACATTGAATGATGCACCTTGAAATCTAACATATGCCTGACACTAGCCCCCCTCCCTCATGGCGCATCCCCCCGCTGTAAACTAAAGTCCAAAAGTCGAGGGAGGGAAGTGAACGAGGAGCTGGCAATTGACAAGAAGCTGGAGTGGGCGGTAGAGGTAAACACCACAGTGGAGCCGATGGAGGGAGAAGCCAAGGTGAAGCCCTGATGCACTTCTTGGGCAGAACCTGGGGGCTGACTGACAGCGACGGAGCAGGACGAGGTGAAGACCCAAGCTTAACTGTGAGGCCGATGGCCCAGGGCGACATCGTAGGCATGGAGGACCGAGGTGATGTCGTCGTACAGCCAGAGGGAGCGCAGAACAAGGCAGAACCAGAAGAAAGGAGGAACCTGGTGGAGCCGAAGGGGTGGAGGAAGTCAACAGAGACAGTGGAGACAAGGGGAACAACGGGGCAGGCAGTATATCAGAAGGCACCAGATCATCCAGAAAGTTACCAAGGACAGATTGATGAGCAGAGAGTTTGAGGCAGGGGCATTAGGTGGGGACTGGCTCCATGGTCGACAGGTCACTGAGCCAGTGCTCCCATTCTGGCTCTAGGTTGACTGTTCTAACGGTGCTGACTCCTGAGGGACTTTACAGTTGGCTCTGGCCTCAGGACAGATGCGGCGTCCGGCTTTAACTCCTGGGTGGACTCTGTGGCTGGCTCTGGCTCCTGGGATAGAGGGAGCATTAGCTTGTGGTCTACAGTTGCTGCTGACATGGTGGCCATGAGTGTTGTCTTATGGTCCATGGCAAAGACACCCAGTTCACCAGGCAAATGTCTTATGGTCCACCCATGTTGTCTTGTGGTTTTTCCGGGGCCCTGGGCTGGGACGATGTGTCCTATATCTGGAACACGCATCGCTAAATAACAAC